GCAGAAAAGATGGGCCTGGAGACGGGCTGGAACTGCCACATCTCCCTCACACCGAATGGTGACATGCCTGGCTCTGAGATCCCCCCATCCAGCCCCAGCCATGCTGGCTCCCTGCATGATGACCTGAATCAGGGTGAGGGCAAAAGTTTGTGGTGGGGACAAGGTGGGCTTGGGAGGTTCCCCCTGCTTGGACCGCAGCTAGAAAGAGCCTCCGTGGATCCCTCCTGAAGGAGCATTCCCTTGGAAAATAGTTCTCATCTCCCTGCAGTAATGGTGGTCAACAGGGGAGGAGGAGAGACCTGGAGGCAGGAAATTCTGTGCCATCTGCAGGGCAAGGAAAGGCCCCCAGAAGGCTGGCCCTAAGGTGAGGGACAGGCTTTCATCCCAACAGTTTCCCGAGATGATGCAGAAGGGCTCCTCCTGATGGAAGAGGAAGGTCACTCAGACCTCATTAGCTTCCAGCCTACGGACAGCGACCTCCCCAGCTTCCTGGAGGACTGCAACCGGGTACGATGGGAGGGCCTGTGCCCCCACACTTCTGGAAGTGGCACATGGCTGGTCCAGGGCAGAGAAGGGAGGGTGGAGGGACCTTTCTCCCCAACCCTGAGGCCCTCGCATCTCTACTATCTCCAGGCCAAGCTGCCCCGGGGCATCCACCAGGTGCGGCCCCACCTGCAGAACATTGACAATGTGCCCTTGCTTGTGCCTCTCTTCACAGACTGTACCCCCGAGAGTGAGTACTGTGGCCATGGTTACTCAGACAGCCTGGCCCCTTTTGCTGAGCACTGCCTAGGCTCTGGAGGGGATGTTGGTTTCCTATGCAGGGAGCAGAGGAGCCTGGGCTAGGATGAGCTGGGGAATCCAGTGGGCTGGTGCCATCAGTGTGCCCATTCTAGGGAGTCAGAAGTGACAATAGTCATACAAGCTTCATGATACTGAGGGTAGGATGGTCCTAAAGAGGGGCCTGCTTGTCCTTGTCTCCTGTTCTCTTGTCCTCTGGTTCTCTGCCCGGCACCCCACATGGGGCTCTGCCTGCCTGATTCTTGTGTCCCCTGACTTTGCCCCCTCAGCCATGTGCGAGATGATCAAGATCATGCAGGAGTACGGGGAGGTGACCTGCTGCCTGGGTAGCTCTGCCAACCTGCGGAACAGCTGCCTTTTCCTCCAGAGTGACATCAGGTCAGGGCGACAACCTAGAGCTGGGGGCTGGCCTCTTCCTCCTGGAGACTTCAGACTCAGGCTTGCCTGGGGCTGGGGGCATATTCTGTGACTGTTCTTGCCCTTATTAGGACCAAGGGACCTTCCTGGGCGTGGTGGGGAGAAAAGGGAGCAGGTGCTTGCTCAGTCCCAGGGGAGTTAGGGTCTTTGTGGAGTGCTGCTGATGGGTATGCTCTCCCCCTACGCTGAGCAGCATTGCCCTGGACCCCCTGTATCCATCCCGCTGCTCCTGGGAGACCTTTGGCTACGCCACAAGCACCAGCATGGCCCAGGCCTCGGACGGCCTTTCTCCCCTGCACCTCTCGGGACAGCTCAACAGCCTGCCCTGCTCTCTGACCTTTCGCCAAGAGGAGACCATCAGCATCATCCGGCTCATCGAGCAGGTTCGGACTTATGGGGAGGGGTGCAGGGCCTATCAGGGGTGGGGAGTGTGACCCAGGATCCATCTGGGTTCCCAAGGGCTGGTTCACTTTCAAGTGGAGCCCTCCCAGCCAGTTTAGTTTACCTCCTCCCCTTCCTAGCAGGAGCATCTGGGGCATCTGGCTCTGGGCTGAAGCTTGTCAGCTGCAGGGCCTGAGAGAAGCCACAATCTGTCCCTCCTGGTCCCTAGGCTCGGCACGCCACCTACGGCATTCGCAAGTGCTTCCTCTTCCTGCTGCAATGCCAGTTGACTCTTGTGGTCATCCAGGTGAGGTGGGGCCAGCTGTGGCCAGCGGGCCTCCCCGCCCACTCCTGCACTCAAGGGCCAGTAGAGTCTGAGGCGGGAAGCTGGGAGGAAGCAGTACAGCTGAGGGGGCCCCCAGAGCCTCTGTGGAACCCCTGGGCTTTTGGAGATGACCCCATCGGCAGGATAGTGTCCCTTCCTGCCCCAGCTCCTCTCAGCCAGAACATGAGTGTCTGTCTGGCCCAGGCAAGGCCACTCTGGTGCTCCCCGCATCTTAGAATCTGCTAGAATCTAATTGTGCTTCCTGGGTTCTCCTGGCCTAGTTCCTCTCTTGCCTAGTCCAGCTGCCACCACTCCTGAGTACCACTGACATCCTGTGGCTGTCCTGCTTTTGCTACCCTCTGCTCAGGTAAGAGCCTGAGCGGCCCCTTTGTGTCCAGGCAGGTGGGGTTGGGATGTCACTGAGCATCTCTGAGGGTCCAGGTTCTGGGAGCCCTGCTCAGTGCTTACCTCCTCGGCACAGGAGGCCTCAGGGGGACTCTCCCCCTTTTCTCATCTCATCTCCCTACCAGACCTGACCTTACTCCCAAGACTCCCAAAGGCTTCCCACATGGGAACTGGGGGACAGAGGGTCACAGTCACCATCCTTTACCCAGTCTCTGCTTTTCAGCATCTCTCTGCTGGGGAAGCCCCCGCATAGCTCCATCATGTCTATGGCAACAGGGAAAAATCTTCAGTCCATTCCTAAGAAGGTAAGCAGCGTGGAGCCCCGTGAGTCTGGGCCTTTCCTGAGGAATGTGAGTGTGGAGGGGGCTGAGCTTTCAGAGAGAGAGCGATCAGGATGGGGTTTTTCCATCAAAATTTTCCCCAGACCAAAGGGGACATGGTCATGGTGGTACAGAGCTGGGAAAGACCCTTGCTGGGGCAGGCAGTCCCTGCTCCTATCCCCTGGGGCCTGCCCATTTACTGAAGAGCCTGTTGAATCCATGAAAAAGTCGGCTGGATGCCAGAGAGGCTGCTGCCATGGGAGTGATGGGCCTCCCTTCTTCCCGCAGACCCAGCATTACTTCCTGCTCTGCTTCTTGCTCAAGTTCAGCCTCACCATCAGCTCGTGCCTTATCTGCTTTGGCTTCACACTGCAGAGCTTCTGTGACAGCTCCCGGGCCCGCAACCTTACCAACTGCTCCTCCATCATGCTGCCCAGGTGGGTCCCGTCCCCTGGGGCTCCCCCAACACCCCCCAGTCCACTTCCCCGGGCCCAGAGGGGGCTGAGCCCACACGTTGCTTTGGCAGCCGTGCCGACACAGCTCCAGCCTGGTTTGATGACTTTGCCAATGGGCTGCTGACAGCTCAGAAACTCGCCGCTGCCCTGACTGTCCTGCACACCGGTAAGGGGGTCCGGGGAGGGTCCAATGGCAGCTGGTGGGGGTACCAAGGGGTGAGACCCAAGGCTGTGGGAAGTCTGACATCCCCCACTGACCCCATTTTCTCCAGTCTTCATTTCTATCACCCATGTGCATCGCACCAAGCCCCTGTGGAGAAAGAGCCCCTTGACGAATCTCTGGTGGGCTGTGACAGTGCCCGTGGTGTGAGTATCGCTTGGATGGAGGGCGGAAGGAGGGAGAAGAGCAGGAGCGGGCTTCAGCAGGGCTGATTTGAGGGTGGGATTAGGGCCAGAGGTTGAATGGTGCCTTCCTTGAGCTACTTGTACTGAGAAAAGCAGAGGAGGAAGCAAGAAGACCCAGGTTGACCCAGGCTGCCACCTTCTCTTAAGGCTGCTGGGGCAGGTGGTCCAGACGGCGGTGGACCTGCAGCTATGGACGCACAGGGATAGCCGCATCCACTTTGGCCTGGAGGATGTGCCTCTGCTGACTTGGCTCTTAGGCTGCCTCTCCCTGGTCCTTGTGGTGGTCACCAATGAGATCGTAAAACTGCATGAAATTCGGTAAGCCACCAGCAAGGCACTCCCTCTGGGCTCAAGCATGTTCCCTAAGCCTGTTACCTCCTGGGCATCATCTCCCCACCTTCCCGCTGCCCATCCCTTCCTCTTCCTCTGGTGTCCTGCCCTGCCCCCTGGTCTGGGAGTCTGCACTAACCTGGACTTTAATCTCCTGCCCTACCAGAGTCCGGGTCCGCTACCAGAAGCGACAGAAGCTGCAGTTTGAAACCAAGCTGGGCATGAATTCTCCTTTCTGAGCCATTGGCCATGGTGGCCACAGTTGGCCTGGTCCTTGGGACTAAAGCCAGACCCATTTCTGAGTCTAGGGAGTTGGTATCATGAATGTTTCAGGGTTTGCTCTTGTGCCCCCTGGCATTGGAGGCCCAGCTTTTAGTGTCAGATGCAGCTATTGTCCTGAGCCCTGGGGTTAATTGTGGAGGAGCTGACGAGCTGTGGCCTCGGCATCAGGACGTCCTGGTCTTGAATGTATGACCTCATGTGCTTAGTAGAGGGGCTGTTAGCCCCCTCCACCTGTGGGCTGCTGCCCTTCAGCATCCCGTAACCTAGCGCTCTCTGCCCTGGCGTCTCTGGGCAGAACCATAAACCCTGGGGCCAGAGCCTCCACTGTTTTTGGAAGAGCAGTGGCAGCAGCCATGGGCGGCCTGGCCAGCTCTCAAGGCTGCTGTTGAAGGCAGCCGTAGTGGCACATCCCCCTTGCACGCCCTCATGCTGTCAAGCAGGGGCCTGGATGTGGCCGAGTACTTCCCCTCCCTCCCTTTATGGGGGAGCCTCACGCTGGGACCTGAAGATGGAGAAGAGCCCCTGTCTGCCTCGTCCCAGAACCTCTTCCTGTGCCTGCCTTCAAGCTGGCAGCGAGAGTCAGTCTTGGCTGAGGGCTCCTTCTAACCCCCAGCCCTAATTCGCCTGTGAGGATGTTTTTACTGGTGTATATTTTTTACTGGAAATGAGCCTTTTAGGAATGAATGTAGACTGGTTCGTATTAAAACTTGTAAATTGCTTAAGAAAAACCTGTGGCTGGTTTCGGCCAGTGAGGGACCAGAAGGCGAGGGGGGGAGGGCCCAAGTCTTCCTCTTTCCACGTTGGCGGGAGCCCTCATGTCCAGCTAAGGAGACCCCTGGACTCAGAGGTCCGTGGCACAGATCCAAACACACAGCCTGATCACGTGGAATGACACTTTCATTGGTGTTAGTTGGGGGAAGAGGTTAATGGTTACAGAGCCGGGGCCTGGGCCAACCAGGTCAGGCTTCCAGCCCCAAGGCAGGTGGTGGGCACTCTTGCTGTGGTCCAAAGCCCCTCCCCCACTGCATCCTTTCAGTTATAGATAGAATAAATTCCATTTAAAATATATGCATTTCTCTCTGCTTAAAAAATAACATTTACAGTTGAAAAAGTTTGGACTTTGGAGATCTGTTTCAGGGATCTGTGAATACCACTGCCCCCATTCCCCCCAGCTTTGCCTCACTGAAGGCAGGCAGGGGCAGGAGCAGGGGCTGGCCTGGGCATTGCCACTGCCACCAAGCAGGCCCCTGGTGGCTTATTTACATGTCCTATGTACACCTGTGGGGACCTGGCCAGATGCATGGCTTCCTCCAGCCTCTCAGTGCCAGAACAGCACAGTGAGTAGCAAGAGGACCTTGGCACAGGGACTTGAGACACCGGAGGGGCAGAGAAAGCACCCTAGAAGCTCTGCCACCATCTCTCTCTCCCTTGGAAGGAAGCTCTTACCAGGGTCCCTGTCCAAGGGGTAGGGCTGTCCGATCAGATTACACACTGGGAGGGGGCTTTAAGAAGTCAGGTTCTCACAAGTCTCCGGCCCCCCGCGGGGGCTACCCCCCACTAGAGCTGTAGTACTGTGAGCCACTGGCTTGGAGGAGCAGGAGGGACCCTCCTAGAGTGGCAGGAGCTTCTGTGCTGGGGCAAAGGCAGTGGATGCTGCAGGTCATGGTGGGCACTGCTGAAGGTGACAGGCGGGTCTAGCTCAGTCCAGCATGGCATCCAGCTGGTCAGCCAGGGCATCGAACATGGTGCTGATGTCATCCAGAATGTGCTTGGTGGAAGTGCCAGGGGGGCTGCAGCAGGGGAAGGACTGGGTCAAATCAGCCAGCGGTTGCACCCTGCCAGCCCTGGGCAAGGGGGCTGTTACTAAGCATCTGCCTGGTTGCTGCCAAGCGCTTCCCGTGCATCTTCTTTTAATTCTCACAACCTCCCAAGTCAGTTGGAGTACCGTCCCTTTCTTACACACGAAAGCACTGGGGCTCAGAGGGGGAAGTGACTTCCCCAAGCTCACTTTCCTCGAAGTGGCAGCCACCAGGATTCCCCGCAGTCAGATCTGGGTGACTCCAGAACCTCGGTTCCTGCCATTCCAATAGGGACCTCCCCAGCCTGAGGACCTGCTTGCGAGGATCCTGTCCCCAACAATCCCAGGACGTCCGGGAAGGGGATCCTGGAGGAGCTGCTCCTAGCTGCCGCCACCTCTCTGTCCCTGCCCAGCACCCAGCACTCCTTACCCCTCTCGCTCCTCAGTGCCAATGCTCTTCTCTGCTGCCCGTAGCGCAGCTGCCAGGGATGAGCTGGTCTGCTCCAGTCTCTGCTGGGCCCGGCCTGAGCCCGTGGCCCCAGTGCTCTCAGGCCTTGGAGGGGGCACCGGGCGGGGGCCTGGCCGGGGAGCCAGCTTAGGGCCAGAAAATGCCAGCTGGGTGCAGGCCACAGACACAGGCTTAGGGGCTGTTCCTGCAGAGACAAAAAGGTTGGCTTGTGACTTGGCTGGGCTGGACACAGCGCCCGCAAACAATGCCCTCTCCCCACAGGCCCTGCCTCATACCTGCTCCAGGCACCTTGATGAGGGCCGCAGGGGGAGTTGGGGTCTCTGTCTCCCCATGCCGCCGATTGCCTGCTGAGTTTTCCAGAGTTGGCCCAGGGCAGGGGCACACGTGGGGCTGGGTTGGGGGGCTGGGGGAAAGAGGGGCTGGGGACCCTTGAGTTGGAAGGTTGGTAGGGTCAGGCCGAGGAGGGCTGGGAGAAGCTGAGGAGGGGGACTCGCTGGGGGTCTGGGAGGGCAGGGGGGCAGAGGAGCTGGGAATGGCACCAGCCACTCCAAAGGCTAGAAGTGCCGTCTGCAGGGGCTCTCTCTCGCGGCATTTGGGCCTCCGCTTAACAGTGTCTGACTCTGTGAGGTTGAAATCGAGGCCGGCGGGCACAGCCGTCTCCCGGGGTGGAGGGCCAGCTGGCTTTGGCCGCTGTTTGATAGTCAGGTTCCCCTCCTCTGCAAATGGTAGCCCTTCCCCTGAGCTGCCCCGAGATGGGGGTGTCCCCTCGGGCCCTGGCTCCTCCTCTGTGTCCGAAGCAGGCCCAGCTGGGGCAGGTGGGCCAGGGGGCTCCGATGGGCCCGTTGGTTCACTCAGTGTTCGTCTTCGGGGCCCCGCAGTCCCTTCCTTGGGCCCTGGGCTTCCATCCAATGGAGGCGGCTCCGGGGTGGGGCCAGAGACAGAACTGAGGCGTTTAGGGGGTGGGGGCGGTGGGCCTTTGCGACGGGCCCGCAGGGCAAAGGACTGGCTTCGGGGAGCCCCTCGAGTTGGGGTCGGGCTAGGGCTATTCCGGGCTAGGGCGCTGCGTCCTGGTCGCCGAGTAAGGGTGGCATAACTGCCCAAGGCACTGCCCACCGGCCCTTCGGCCTCCCCTTCTGCTTCCCCTTCGGCCGGCCCAGGGCGGCTCAGGCTGTGGGACCGGCGCTTGGGCCGAGGCGGGTCGGGAGGAGTGGCAGAGGGGCCAGCCAAGTAGGAGAAGGCCCGGGGTGGACCAGGAGGTGGCCCTGGGGCTGGGCTGGAGGGCGAGCTCTGCGGGTACATAAAAACATAAGCAGGGGGCCCCTGGCTAGGAAGTGGGGGACAAAGCTTAGGGGGTCTCTCTGTGCCCTCTGGAAGGTTCCTCTCCTGTGGGGTGCTGGGGTCTCCACCATTGGGCTGGGGGGCAGGCTGTTCCTGTGAGTGACCAGACCCTCGTGAGCGTGCTCCAATGCTCTCCTGGCTGGGGGAGCGGGCAGGGGGCAGGGGGAGTGGCTCAGGGCCACCCCCCGCCATGGCTGCCTGTAACTCTGGGCTCAGCTCACTGCCCTGAAAGGTCAGGAGGCGTGGACCAGCCGCAGCTGGGCCATCCCCATTCTCTAGTCCCTCGATGGCCATCAGCTCCGGGCCCCTGGCCAGCCGACAGCCACCTTCACCTGGGGCCTCCCCCTGGAGTAGGCCCCGCCGAAGCTCAGCCAGCCGCTTCACCCCCAGCATAAGCTTCTTCTGATGACCTAAGAGGGGGTGGATAGAGGTGGCAGGGTTAGCTGGGGCTGGGAAGGGTCTCCCCAGTCCCTCCCAGACCCCATTCTCTCTTCTGGGACTGGACCCTAAAAACATTTTGGAGACCCTTGGAGGCAGGTGGGAGCCCAGCCAGAAAGCTGTCCTCACCAAGCTTGTTGACGCCGATCTCCTGCAGCTCCTCCCAGGTGAGCTCGGCCACCAGCCCCATGGAGTCGTAGCCACTGCTCACCAAGTGCTTGTGGTACTGCGGCAGCCCCAGCGCACACAGCCACTCCAGCAAGTCCGCCTGGAAAAGCACCATGGTCGGAGCTGGCTCCCTGGCCAGCAGTGGCCCCCAAGCCAGGAAGGCACCGCGGCTGAGGGTGGGAGCCTATGCCGGCCGTCCACTCACTGGAATGTAGTTGGGCAGCCACTCGGCAATGCTGAGCTGGGCTATCTCTGAAGCGATCTTCTTCCTGTGCCCAGGCTTGGTCACCCCAATGGCCGTCAGATCCTGCCACACAGAGTTGTGCCATCAGGACCCCTCCTATGCCCGCTGGGCCCTCCACTGCCCTCCACTGTGGCACCTACCTCAGGCGTCATGCGGCTGATGGTTGGCACGTCGTAGCCAGCCTGCAGAAAATGGGTGGTGTAGCCCTCTAACTGGAACTCACTCAGCCAGTTATGAATGGCCTGAGCATCCTGTGGCATGGGGGAGGGGAGGTGAAGTTAACAGAGCTGAGTCTGCTGAGGAGGGGCCATGGCCACAGCCCAGCCATCTGCCCCAGAATCCCCTAAGGCCTGGCCTGAGCAAGAACTTAAGTCCATACTGAGGCCCATCCCACCCCCCGTCCTGGCCCACAGCCCACCCCCTACTGGGGGTCCTTCCCCTCCACACCTTCCCCTCCAGCAGCTGCTCCGGCCTCACATCCTGGGTGAAGAGCTGCTCCCCAGAGCGGTAGTTGGCCAGAGAGCGGTGACTCAGGTTGTCTTCAAGGAGGAAGAGAAATGGAGTCAGAGGTGGCAGGATGATGCAGTGCCAAGCCCTCAGCCTCCCTGCCTGCACCTCTCCCAGCCCACCAGGCCCCATCTCCCCTTCCTACCTGCCAGGGATGGAGGGTGCAGTCCTGGCAGCACCTGGTCCTCTCCGGCAGAGGGCAGTGGCTGGAGACAGGGAAGGAGCTGATTCTATTTGGGGAATTGGCAGTAGGTGGAGGGTCTTGCCCCAGTCCCAACATCCCCTCCCTCCTACCTGGGCATTCTCAATAAGGAGGCCAGTGCCGTGGCCATTGGTGCCCTCGGAACTCTGCCCGCTGCCGGCACTGCGGATGCTGCCCACGCTGCCCTCGCTGCCCACGCTATTCCTGTCACCTGCTGCAGGGGCAAGAAGCAAAGGGGTTAGAGGCCCAGTTGGCGCTGCCAACAACTGATTGGCAGCTTGCCAAAGCTAGACACCCACCCCGGTGCCCAATGCTGACCTCCGGGAGGATGTACCTGGGCTGTCTGGGCTGAGGCCCACCCGAGGGAGCTGGCCATACGTAAGAGGGTGCAGGGGGTCGTCAGCAGGGGGCTGCGGTGTCCGGGAGAAGCCAGGGCGCAGGGGAGTGGGTGCAGAGGGGAGGCGGGCCGCAGGGACGCCCACCCGCTTGCTGACCACCTCGACGATGCCCGGGGGGAAGTAGCCCACACGGTCCGTGCCCCTCTGGCTCTCATGGATGTGGCCCTTCCAGCGGCCATCGGGATGCTGCTCAAGCACCTGTAGTAGATGGGGGGGGGGTTGTCGACAATGGTCCCTTCCTCGACCAAGCAAGGACCGGCAGCCAGCCCTGCAGCCACAGTTCAGCTCTTCCCCTACCCGCAAGAAGCTGGCCTCTGATGCTCAAGTTGGCCCACAGTTCTGCCCCTGCCATGAGCATCCAGCCCAATTCCCTGTGTGCATCCAGAGCAGACAGTCAGCCTGGGTTCAAATCCCAGCTCCAGTGCTTGCTGGCTATGTGGCCTTGGGCAAGTAACTTTAATTTCCCTAAGTCTCGATTTTGTCATCTCTAAAAAGGACATGGCGATAGTGCCAACTTTACCTGGATTTGGGAAGAATTCAATGAGATAGCGCACAGACCCTGGTCCACAGTAGGTGCCCAAGTAAGTGACAGCAATCATTAGTGTTCAAAAAGAAATGTCTGCCCCAGGTCCTCACCGTGATGACGTCCCCTGCCCGGACATTGAGGGCAGTGGGATCGTGGAGGTTCCAGAAATCCTTGAGCGCTCTGACCTTGAGGATGCCCGAGGCCTCTAAGAGAAGACGGCGGGCAGGTGTCACCTGAGGGTCCTTATGGCATCTTCCCACCTCTCCTGTCCCCTTCATGACCCTTTCCCAGGTCCCTGCCTCATCATCCCTGCAGCACCTCCACCTGCCCAGCCCTGGGCCCAGAAGTGTGATATCCTGCTCCTGGACACCCACTCCTGCTCCACTTCCTGTACCTACCGGAGTGGTTCTGGAACCCTGGATCCCACACTCACCCCGCAGTAGCTGCTTGATCTCCCGGCTGGCCTGGGAGGTGGTGAACTGATTCACAATGTCCAGCGCAGTCTGGTTATACGTATTCCGAATGTTGACATCCACCCCACCCTGGGGGCACAGTGCAGAGTGAGCGTGCAGTGAGGGCTTTGCTCTGCTCGTCATTTACCCCAATCCTCACGAGGGAGGTACTACTTTCAAATTTTACAGATGAGGAAATGGCAGCTCAGAGACCAGGCTGAGGATGAGCTCAAGGTCGCTCAGCTAGTAAGAGGCAGACTGCGGCTCGAACCAGGTCGGTCTGCTCTCCAGCCACCCATGTAAAACACCACGGTTGCGGTGGACGCCCCCCTCCCGCGCCTCCCCAGCCAGTCTTGGCACTTGGCGGGGCTCAGTGTACACCTGCGGGCTGACCAGGTGCCCACACCCACCTCCAGGAGCAGCCGCACCACCTCGGTCTTGCCATACAGTGCAGCCTCGTGGAGCGCCGTGCCTGTCTTGGTCTGGCGGTTGATCTCAATCCCGGCTCTCAGGAGCTGCCTGCGGTTGGGAGGGCATGTCACAGGGGTGGGGTGGGGGCAGGAGAGGAAGCCGACTGCTGGGGGCTGGGAGAGCGATGCAGAACAAGGGTGAAGAGGGCAGCAGGGCAGGGCACTGAGGGGACATTGCCAGTCCCACTGAAGGGAAGAGGATGAGGAAGTGGGGGCCTTTGGGCAGGTACCTGATGACCTCTCTGTGGCCATTCTTGGCAGCCAAGTGCAGGGGTGTGGTATAGTTGGGGTCACATGGGTCCTTGGCCTCGCCCTCCAGCAGTGCCACACATAAGTGGCTGTTCAGAAGCAGCTGGGCCACCTGCAGCAACCAGCACCCAGGTAGGGCCTCCTCCTGACACCCCACAGATACCCAGGACCCAGCACCCCAAGGGCGGTAGGCCTCACCTTGAGCCGCCCAAATTCACAGGCCAGATCCAGGGGCGTCTTCTTGGCTTTGTTGACCAGACACGGGTTGGACTGATGCTGGAGGAGCATTTCTGACTGGGGTGGGGGGAGCTGGGTGAGGGTCTGGCCTGGCCAACAGCCCATGCCAGCCCCGGTCCCCTGTCCCAGTGCCCCTGCGGGCAGGCAGGCTCACGTACCACCTCATAGTGTCCGTACTGGGCAGCCAAGTGCAGCGGGATCTGCCCGTCCAGCGACGCGGCATTGACAGCTGCAGAGGCCCGCAGTAGCAGCCTCACGGGCTCCAGCCGGCCCTGCCAGGCCGCGTAGTGCAGCGGCCGCATGCCTGCAGGAGGGACGAGGTTTCTGAGGGAGGTCCTGGGACAGTGTCGGGTTGGGGAGGCAACTGAGCAGAGCCTAGAGCCACCCCAGCTGGAGGAGAAAGAGACCCAGGGGGAAGCATTGCTAGTTTCACCCGGGTTTGGTGAAGGTCTGGCTGTATGGGGTTGGAGCCAGAATCCCACTGTGCCCACCACGGATCATCTGGTGACCTCATGACAGTGACATACCCTCTCTGAGCCTCAGCCTCCGCATCTGGATAATGGGATGTCAGTACCACCCACTACTCTAGAAGGCCATGAAGATTGAAGAGGCAAAGCATTTGCAAGCCCAGAGAAGCTGTTAGCTTCACATTGAACAGAACATCCCTTAGCATTGCTGTGAGGTAGCAGGAGTTAGCTCTGACCACAGGGTCTGGGTGGGAGGCATGCTGGGGTCTCACCATTGCTGTCCTTGATGTCAACGGTGGCCTGAGCCTCCAGCAGCAAGGCTATGAGCTCCAGGCTGCCCCCCAAGGCAGCATGGTGGAGAGCAGAGAACCTGGGGTGATGGGACACAAGGCAGGGGGCATCAATGAACAGTGCCGCACCCCTCAAATCCTGGTCTTCCACACCAGACCTGGCCCGGGGGCTGGCAGGGCTGAGAGACTTGCCCACTGCGCCCCTGCACCCCCACCCTGCCAGCCCTGCCGTGGGAGCGCAGAGCAGCCGGGCTGCAGCATAAAGGGCTCAGTGTCTGGGCTGAGAGGCCTGTTTGTCTGGCCTCCCTCATCTGGCCCAGGGGAGGGGGCCGTGGGAGCAGGAGCCTGAGGGCTCCTACCCTCCAGGGAGAAAAGGGGCCCCCTCAGAGAGGCACCAGGGCCCCCTTTCCTCACTCAGGGATAGCTCCACAGGCAGGTAGGCGGGCAAGACCCTCTCTCTCCCACCCAACATGGGCAGGGCCCACAGCTCTCAGCAAACACATTTCAAAGGCCAAGTATGAGAGGGGAAGGGACTCTGGGCCCCAGGTCTTTCCCCCTTGCCCCTCCCCCACCCCCAGCTCTCTGGAGGGATGGGGGCTCACACTCACCCATCAGCATCCTGGTAGTTGACGTTGAGTCTCTTTGTGGAGCCCAGGAGCTCTGGGGGTCAGAGCAGGAGGCATCAGGGCACCCTCAAATGATCTGCCCTCACCCGCGCCCTTAGTCAGTGCTCCCTTCCCACCCACCTCCAGAATCCAGCTGACCTCTTGGTGTGCAGGAAAGCACCTGCCCCATGGCCTGTTAGCCGTCCTGTCCCTATGGCTCCCCAGCCTGGCCTGCTGGCCCATCAGCTCGAGGGCTCCGAGTGCAGAGAACCACTGCAGCAGAGGCCTGGCTTCCCCGGGCCCCCAGCCCAGCTTGTTTATAGAGCCAAAGGGGGCAGGGAGGGGGGACTGGCGTGCTGTGCCCTCAATAGACAGGCCCACGAGTGCATGGTTAGCATTCCTGCCTGAATGGGCCAAGGAGGAGTCTCATTGTCCCACTGGGCGAGGGGGCTGGGAGAGAAGGGAGAGGGGCACTAGATGCTCGAGAGTGGAAGGGCAGATGCCAGGGCCAGACTCAAAGGCCACAGTGTCCAGCCCTGGGACATCCTTGAGTAGGGCATGGTGGAGAAGGTGGTACCAGACAGACCTACCCCATGCCCCAGCTCTGCCATGTACTAACTGTGTGGTCTTGGGCAAGTCACGTAACCTCTCAGACTCAGTGTCCTCATCCATAAAATGGGCCAATCACAGAACCTGCTTACAAGTGTGTGAGTACCATGCCTAACCCCTGTCAGCATGCAAAAGACGGGAGCTACCACCACAGCCATCCTCACTTGTCAGCCATCATTATTAAGATGCTGTCCTCCAGCAAAGGCCCCTGTCAGGGGAGGAACTGCGGGCTCTGCACCCACATGCTCCTGGCAGAGATGTCTATGTCCCGGGCAAGGGTCTCTCTGCCGGGTGGTGGCAAGAGGAACTAGGGGCCGGAGCAGGATGCTGGTTCATCTCCCACTCAGGGACAGGAACAGGATTTATGCAGGTGTGCTCCAGGCATGAGCCAGAGCATGGGAGGGGGCGGTCCCTCGTGAGCGTTGGGGAGTGGAAGGGGAATGCCTGTCACAGGCTGCCCCTGCCTCCTGCTGGAACCCACCCCTGCTGTGAAGGAGGAGGCCTGGTTCAACCCTGCCGGGCAGGGTGCCAAGCATGCTGGTCCAGGCCTGCCCCCCAGGCCCTAGTGGGCCCCTGAATACCCCAGCAAGAAAGGGCCTCATTCCAATAGGGAGGGCCCAACACTGCAGTGAGGAGCACGGGATGGGGAGGGAGATGATAGCCACACTTAAGGCTGAGCTGAATTACGAATTACGTTACTGCCGAAAAGGTAAATACAGAGCCAAGGAGTGACGAAGGAGGTAAGGGGGTGGCGGCGCTACGAAGAGACACAGGCCTCCCCATCTTCCTCTAGCCCCCTTGGAAAGTCCTTGTCACACAGAACCACTCAGGGCAGTGGACAGAACAGGGGCTCTAGAAGCAGGAAGTGTGTGGTTCAAATTCTTCTCCCTCTTACTTGTGGTGAGACCTCAGCGAGCCACGGTCTCTCTCTGAGACTCAGTGAAGAGGATGAGGTCAGCAGGGAAGAGACACAGAAAGTCCTGCATCCCGCCCACCTTCCACCTGCTGCCAGGCTGGACACCCCGGGATGGGGCAACTCAGTGACGAGATGCAGCCCCTCCGGGGAGTGGCAGGACAACGTGACAGGAGGGACAGGAACAGGGGCAGGGACAAGCTGGGTGGCTGTTCTTTCCAGAACAATGGCCGGAAAGGCGGTGGGGGAGAGGCTCACAGTGACTGGGCTGGGGACCTTGGCGGGAGGGCGGAGGGTCCCAGTTCCTGGCACTGGATCCAGGCACTTCCCCTGGAGCACAATCTTCTTCCCAGGCCCGGCTCCGGGGGTTGGGGGGGGGGGGGCACTCCTGACTTAGGCAGAGGATGTGAGCTCAGTGGGCCACCCCCAACCCACCCCATTTCCTCTGGCCAGAGAAGGAGACAGCTCAGAAAGGGAGTGGGGGAAGGAAGGAGAGAGGGCAGGGGCAAGGCCAGGGCAAGTGCGCCCCTCTCCTCCCAGCCACCTGCTCCCTGAAGAGGACCTGGGTGAGCAGGGAATGCTGGCCCCAAGCGACCAGACATCAGATGCAAGAGGCTGAGGAAGCATCTCTCTTTGGACAGCCAGAAAGCTCTAGCCACCCCCCAGAGGAAAAAGGGGAGCCCTGACCCCTCCCCCCTGGCAGTTTCCTTCGCCTCTCTGTGGTATGGAGCAGGAGTTCCCAGCTTCCTTTCTGAGAACTGCTTTAGAATCACCTGGAGAGCTGTCAAAATTGCAGAGTCCCAGGCTCTCCGGATGATTCTAATTCTGAGGGAAGACCAGGTAGTCCACACTTTCAGAACAATCCCAGGTTGTTCTGATGGGCAGCCAAGGGTCAGGGCACAGGCTTGTCTCTGATCTGCCACACAATGGCTGTGTGACCTTGGGCAAATCCCTAACCTTCTCTGAGTGTCAGTTTCCTCATCTGTAAAGTACATATAGAAATACCGATCTCACAGAGAACTGAGGGGATTATAATATTTGCAAATGCCACCTTGTGATCTCCTTTTTGTCATCAGTTTTCCCAAGACTCCGTCACTCTGTGCCTGTCCTGTCACTCTGTGCAAATCCCTTAGGGGCTGGGGAAAGGGACAGCTTCCCCCACAGACATTTTCCCCAGGGCACCTGGCTGCAAAGTTCCCGCCATCAGCCTCCAGACCCCACCCGCTTGCCCTCCCAAGGGCCTCACTTTGAGGCCGCAGGGCTGTGAGGCCAGCAGCAGCTCAACCAAGGCCCCACTGGGCAGGTCGCCAAAAACAACACAGAGGTGAGGGGAGGGGAGGAGTGGTTCCCACTCTTGGGCCTCCAGGGCCCTCTCCTGGGACCTCCTTAGCACCTTCCCTCTCATTGTGCTCACCCTGGATACACTTCCCAAGGGCACAGAGACCCCCGCCACAGCTCCCTCTCCCTATACCCAGGTCTCTGCCCTGATGCCCAAGCGGGAGCAGCCTGTGGCTCCCAGGCCCTTAAAATCCTTCCTTCTGGCGCTCGTGCTCGCAGGTGTGGGTGGGGATAATTAAATGTCTTCAGGTAGCCTGAGGGGCTCTTTCCCTTGCACAGGACCAAGGTGTGTCTTGGGGCTAGAGCCCCAGCACTGGGGAGGGGGGGGGGCGGGCAGGGGGACCCGCACGACCCCCCAGCCCCCCTTGCACAGTGTGATGCAGGAGCCACCTCCTGCCCCTGCTGTTCCAGGAACTCAAGGGGACAAGTCCAGTGTCCTCCTGGGATGGCCTGGAGAGCTGGCCCTGAAGCCCACAGGTCTACTGTCCTTGGGGATCTCACCACAGAGGTACATAAGAGAAGGGGCTCAGGTGTGGCCACCCATGCATGGGCCCTCACAACCCTGTTAAGACCAGAGCCCCCAGGTTATGGAGAAACCTCCAGAAAACTAGCTTTGGCCACCGCCCCCCTGCCACCCTCCACCACCACCACCACTAGGGGACACTGGCAAATAGGTCAGGGGCAAAGGGGCTTTAGCAAGCAGTTAGATAGTGTTGAGCTTTGTCTTGAGCAGTAGAACTCTCTCTTTAGAGGTGTGTTACAGCATCCCCATTAAGCTAAGACACAAATGCAGAGACGCCCTGGTTGGGGGGAGGGGGGTGGCTGATGGAGCTCTAGCTGTTCAGTCTTTCCCAATCCACTGCCAGAAACCCCATGGCTCCAAAGAACACATCTGGAAAACCACCTGCTAGATGACAACCCCACAAGGGCAGGAATTTTGGTCTGTTTTATTCACAGCTGTGGCTCAGTGCTTAGAACAAAGCCTGGCACACAATAGGCATTCAATAAAAATTTGAATGAACGCACTTCAACTCTTCTACTTTACAGGTGAGGAAACTGAGGCCCAGAGAGGTTAAGTGATTTCCCTAAGGATGCACAGCAAGGGGGGGGGTCCCAACTTCCTCTCTGGCTCTCCCACACAGAGGCACTTGTACAGAACCAGACAGTCCTCCCACCCCAAGTCCCCAGATCACAGTGACCCCCAAGCCTCTCTCTTTGGCCTGAGCACTCAGAGAAGGGTCTGGGCTGGACAGTTGCTCCACCAAGTACTCACTTGTCTTAGAAGCCTTGACCTTAGCCACCAGTTTCTGCACACCAGTCACATCTCCATTCTTGACAGCGAGAATCAGGTCCTGTTCACGACCCATTCTGGTCCCCAGGCTGGGCTCCAAGCTCAGGAGTCCAGGGCAGAGGCACGGAAACTGGTCTAAGCAGAGGTGTCAGAGCGCCATGCCTTGGCCCTTTGGAGGGTCAGGGGTGCCGGGGGAGGGCGTCTGGTGTCCCAGACAGTGGGCTTCTTGTCAGGCGCTTGACGGGTACTCCCTCAAGGTGCTTTGTGAGCTGCCGCCACAAGCAGGAAAGCCGATTGCTGAGTGGGTGGAGGCTGCGTGGAAATCTGGACGGATATCAGCTTGCAGCTTCCGATGGCCCCAGGATGGGCCAGGACTGGGCACACCAATCTTCCCAGAGTGAATCAGGAACACCAATGTCTACCCAGAGAGCAGCCAGCATTCCCTCGGGCCTTGGGCAGCTGCAGGCAACAGGTCTCAGGGGTCTGGAAAAGGTGCAGAGCCCCTGCTGAAGGCTGGGTCAGAGCCTGCAAGGGGCCCAAAGCAGGGCTCAGAGGACGAGCAGGACAGGGCCTCCATGGAGCCCCCAAACCATCCCGGCTGCCCTTTAGAGTCGAGGGAGAAGCTGAGCACTCAAGAGAGGAGGGAGCCACCACGAGTGAGAGGAGTGTTTGGAGGGGGGGGAGGTGGTGTTCTGGGAGGGAGAGGCTGAGTCACTGAGGCCCCAGGGCACCTGGCAGCACCTCAACCTGGGGCAGGAGGGGCCCTGGCAGCACGACACACTGGGGCAGGCCGGGAGCAGCCTGTTCTCCACAGCCTGGGGCTCTGACACCCACAGACAACTGGTAGGCCAGGAGGTGGGGCCCAGGAGGGTCAACACAGGCAGCAAGGCAGGGGTCACTCCCAGACTCCTCCCTACCTAAGCTTTACTAGAATAGCTGGATGTCCTAGCCCCAGGGTTCCTTATGAATTCAGAGGGTGGAGTGGGGAACTTATGTCCCCCCGTTTCTGGCGGGGCTCTGCCTGCTGGACAGAAAGGCTTTACAGCACCTGTTGCTGACCCATCCTCACCCTTCGGGCGGGATGGGGAAGCAGCTGGGCAGAGAACAGAGACAAGAGCTGGGACACTGCTGGCAAATGGGGCAGCCCGGCCCCCCAAGCCTGAACTTGAGGCCCAGACCCTCGACTTTACAGCAGAAAAGCTTACGTCAGTTCCTCAGTGGCCGCAAGTTTGTTGCCCCAGTCCTGTGGCATGAGCCCCGCGCAGGCCTGGGGCCCTGGTTGGGGACCCCTCACTCCCAAAACGTCTCAAGCCCAACCCAGATGGCACTCCCGCTCATGGCCCGCGGCCGGCATTGGGGGAGGGCGCCCCTGGCAGTGCCTGGGGTCGGGCTGGCTCCCCCGCCCCCCGGAATGCCCGTCCCGCGCCGCGCAACCCCCCAACCCAGCCCAGCCCAGGCCGATCCCGGGAACAAAGCGGCGGGAGAGACCGGGACCGCCAAGCGCCGGAGAGATTGATGCGGGAGGACGGAATAAGGGGGCGCGAGGAGGACGGAAGAAGCAGAGAGACGGAGGCGCCCGCCGATCCCGCAAGAAAAGTTAGTTTGTGCCCGCCCTCAAGGGTACTGATCCCCAGCTCAGGCCCCACAGTCTCACCTCTCGCAGCCGCCCCGCCGCGGGTCCGGCTGGCCCTGCTCGGCCCCTGGCAGTCTGGAGGGTGGCTCCCACCGTCCCCCTTACCCGTTTTCTCCTCCTTCTCCTCCTTTTCCAAGGCCGGCTCGGCGCCTCCCGCAGGAAATCCCGCCCCTCCCCCCTCCCTCCCGCCGGATCGGGAGCAGAGGGACCGTCCCGGCCGCGCAGTCGGGCTGTCAGTCAGCGCGTGTGGCCCCGCCCCCACCCGAGCCAGGCCCCGCCCCTATCGCGCGCGTCCAGACCTGGGGCGCTGCCCGGTCAGCGCATGCGCCCAGGTGAAGCTAAGGGGGTTTGGGCGAGAGAGCGTACCACTGTGTCCTGGTGGTCGATCCTGGGCAACGTGGGGCTGTAGAGTTCAGACCCGAGGGCGAGATACTCTGGGTGTGACTGGGTGGGTGAGAATAAGTGATGTGAAGGGGTTTGGGAACTGAGACTCCAGGACCCCACTTGGGAAGCCCCCTTCCTCTTGGCCCCTCCCTCCTCCTGGGACTCCCGTAGCGACCTCCGCCCGCGGCCAGAGTCCTCGACCCACAGCCTCTGGTCGGAGCAATGGTGCCACCTAGCGGACAGTGTCGGAGCGGCCCACGGTGGCGGCGGCAGGGACCCCAGCCTCGAGGAGGTGCTAATACAGGACTGGGGAGGCGCTTCAGCACCGTCGTGGGCCGGACAGCGCCTCCTACCCCCGGCCCTGGAAACCTGGCTTCCAAGCCCCCTGGAAGGGGCCCAACGGAAGACCCTGAAGGAACTCTGAATCTCCCCAGACTGCACCTGACAGCCCCCGGTGGCCTTAAGTTTGCAAAGCTGGAATTTGAGAACCCACCACTCTCCCTTTAAGCCCCCTCGCCTTCCCTCCTTGTCCAGCCTGGGTGGTGGGGACTAAAGCGGCCCAGGGCTGCGGAGGGGAGGGTCACGCCTTTGACTATTCTTACTACACTTTCAGACGCCGGGTTCCTCAAGTTTTACTAGGGAGGATCCCAGTGGAGGGCTGGGGACAGGAGAGGGGAGCTTCCGCAAATCCAGAAATGTGCAAACTCTGCCCCTAGAATCGAGGCACATGTTTGCTGGGAGGCACTAGGACCCAGGACAGCCAGGAAGGCGGAAAGCAGGCGGGGCGGATCCGGAGACAAGCCGAGGCCGGATCCCCGGGCGCTAGGGCCCCGCGGAGCTGCGGCGGTGGGCGGGGCAGGGCGGCGAGCGCGCGCGCGCAGACGCGGAGGGCTGCCCGATGGAGCCCGGAGCTGAGCCCGCCGCCGTGGAGGTTCCCGCCGGGCGCGTGCTCAGGTGCGGCGCGGCGCGGGGGGCGCGGCGAAGGGACGGCGGCCGGGGCCCAGCCGGGCGGCCCAGACCGCAGGGTGCTGACCCCGCCTCTCCTCCTTCCCCAGCGCCCGGGAGCTCCTCGCCGCCCGCTCGCGGTCCCAGAAGCTCCCCCAGCGCTCTCATGGCCCCAAGGACTTCCTCCCCGACGGCTCGGCGGCCCAGGCCGAGCGGCTGCGCCTGTGCCGCGAGGAGCTCTGGCAGCTGCTGGCCGAGGAGCGCGTGGAGCGCCTGTGAGCGGGGCGGGCCGGGCCGGGCCGGGCAGGGCAGGGGCGGGGCCGGGGCGGCTGGGCGGCCGGACCCCATAGACTTCTCGGGTGGACAGACGGAGCCCTCCTCACTCCTCGCCAGGGGCAGCTTGGTGACCGCCGAGTGGAGACCGGAAGAGGGCTTCGTGGAGTTGAAGTCTCCCGCGGTGAGCAGTGGGGCTCAGGGACAGGGGGCTGGCCTTCTCTGCCTTCTTGGCTGTTTTGTGACATTTGGTCTGGGTCCCACGCAGGGTAAATTCTGGCAGACCATGGGCTTCTCAGAGCAGGGCCGGCAGCGGCTTCACCCCGAAGAGGCCTTGTATCTGCTGGAGTGTGTGAGTGAGGCTCTGGGAGGGTGGGAAAAGGGTTGGGACCAAGAAACTAGTGTTTTTTTGTTTTTTTAACGTTAAAAAAAAATTATTGAGGTCATAATAGTTTATAACATTGTGAAATTTCAGTTGTTCATTATTACTTGTCAGTCATGGTATATATGTGCTCCCTTACTCATACCCAACCTCCAACTCCCTTCCCCTCTGGTAACCACTAATCTGTTCTCCTTGACCATGTATTGATCGTCCACATACGTGTGAAATTGTTCGGTGTTTGTATTTCTCTGTCTGGCTTATTTCACTTGACATAATACCCTCAAGGTCCGTCCATGTTGTTGCAAATGGGATGATTTTGTCTTTTTTTATGGCTGAGTAGTATTCTATTGTGTCTATATATATGCCACATCTTCTTTATCCAATCATCAGTCATGGGCACTTGGGTTGCTTCCACATCTTGGCTATTGTGAATAATGCTGCAGTGAACATTGGGGTGTGTAAGTCTCTTTGAATTGTTGATTTCAGGTTCTTTGGATAAATAGCCAGTAGTGGGATAGCTGGGTTGTGTGGGCAGAAGGACATGTGTTTACTGGAGAAAAAGTATACACAGCTGTATTCAGGGAGCGTGTAACCTTCCTTCCAGAGAAGTAGACAAGGATACCCTGCAGGGAGCAGGGATTCCAGTCCATGTTAGTGTTGTTCCCCTCCCCTTCCTGGTTGGCCATATTCTTGCTGTGATGCTGGGGTGGGGTTGCCGCAGATGTTAGAGCGGGGAAGTTGCCCCATTGGCTGTGCCACTGCAGGGAGGGCTTACAAGTTGAGCTGTTGGCCCCACTTCCAGGGTTCCATCCAGCTCTTCCACCAAGACCTGCCACTGTCTATCCAGGAGGCCTACCAGCTGCTGCTGACTGAGGACACTGTGACTTTCCTGCAGTACCAGGTATCTGCCACTTTCTCCCAAGAGAGGAGCCACCCATCTGCTGAGTCGATGAATATTTACAAGAACCTACGAGGTGCTAGACACAGAGCCATGTGCTGGGGATACAAGACAGCGAAGGGCTCTACTGTCACGGTGTTTACATCTTGGAGTTGGATAATAAATATAAATGAGCAAGCAAATGAACCTGGTGCACTCCAACGTGAGGGGCTCGGGGGGAAGATAAGGAACCAGAAATAGACTGAGGAGTAACGCAGGAGAAGAACAGGGAGAGGTGGCGGCACAGATGCCCAGAGAAGGTCTTTCAAGGAAGAAGTGGTCGGCTATGTTGGAGGCTGCTGAGAGATCAAGCAAGATGGGAGACATTCCTGTATACGTCTCTCTGACATCTGATATGGATACGTGATATCTGATATGGAAACAGGGACACATGGATGAACATGTGACTCTTTACCAAAGACCACTCCCATCCCACTCATATCTGTGGAGGGGTGGGCGAGAGGGGATGTCTACCACTCTCTCCCATCTTGTCCATATTGTAGTCTGGAGCTTCACTTTTGTCTGCTTTGGTATGAAAATGTTCTGGGGTATAGTTCTTTTCCTTGTCCATCAGCTATCAGCTTTTTTGGATTTGTTTTTAAATCAAGAAACCACTAAATGTCATTTGTGCCCACAGTAACATAACTGAGATGGGGATTCATACTGAGCTCTTAGTTTGGGGAGAGTGTTTATAATGGAGTGTGGTCTAACCAGTCCCAGGGTTTGGAATCGGGGGGTGTGCAGGAGGGGCAGGGGAGGGGGCGTGGGCATTGGCTTCTGTCTGAAGAAACTATTTAGACGTCTGACTTTTACTTTTTTTTCTTCTGAGGTCTTCAGCCATCTGAAGAGACTGGGCTATGTGGTTCGACGATTCCAACCAAGGTAAATCCCTATCCCATTTCCCTCCCATTTGCTCTAGCCCTGGGATCTGGCTGACTGGCCCCAAAGTGGGAAGTGGCCTCTCCTCACCTGGAATCCTCAGCTGGAGCTGGAGCTCCCTGGACATGGACTGAGGGCCTCTGCTGGAATTGCTCTATTGAGAGGCATGTTGGGATGAATCTGGGTCATTTCACCTTATCCTGGGTTATCTAATTGAGACCCATCTTCAGCCTGTTCACTCCACAGATAACGATTGAGCACCTACAGCTCACCGTGAGCATGGAGATGCAATACAGAACAGTGCCTGGCACTTAGTAGGTGGGCAAGCAGATTTGTTGAGTGCACGCACAAATGAAGGACTGAGTGAGGAATTAACAGTTGAGTAGGGTGTCACATCCCTGTTGCTGGGATAGATGTTCTTTCCTTCTGGGGCCTCTGAAGATCATGAGTAATCCAGCATTGCTAAGAGCCACAGAGACCTTCAGACTTGGAGTAGAAACGGGTACAGCCTTTGCAGCTTCACAGTGTGTCATGAAAGCTCTAAAACAGGCACATCCTTTAATTCCTGAAAGTGGAATATATCCCAAGGAGATAGGCAGAGATGTGTGGGTGAGTTCACCTGTGAGAATGTTCATTCATTCATATTCATTCATTGAACAATGTTTACTGGGTGCCAGGCCCTGTGCTCATTGCTGAGGAGGAGCAGAGAGCAAAGTCACTGCCCCACCTGCCCCGGCCCCTGCTCTGAGCTTTCACAAAACACCATCACTCTGTAAAATCAGTGAACTTGGAAACATCCTATGAGTCCAATTCGGAAGGCATGGTCACACAAATTAGTGTGTATTAGGGCAGCACTGTCCAACCGGACTTTCTGTAGTGATAAAAATGTTCTTTGTCGGTGCTGTCCAATATATGTGGCTTGTGTAACTGTGGGACTGAATTTTTAATTTTATTTAATTTTAATGGATTTAAATTTAATTTAAATAGCCCCTTGTGTCTGGTGGCCACCATATTGGACAGTGCAGCTTTAAAGCCATAAGAAAATTGTGGCAGGGAAGAATGCTGTAGTGGTAAGGGGCCATGTCTGTAATAGGTTATTGAGTGGAAAAAAAAAGATCACACAGCAGTATGTTAGTACAACATTACTTCTGATACAAAAAAACATACAAAGAGAAGACAGTATGTGTATTTATAAGAAACAAAAATGTTACAGTGGTATCCATGGCTTTTATTTTCATTTTTATTTTTTTGTATTTTCTAAGTTTTCTAGTCCTCTTGATTTTTCTCACCCGTGTTAATCATTTATTGCTGGCTCTGCCAGAGCCCTGGTTCCAGTGAGCCTCTGTTCAGAGGTGCCATTGGTGAGACCCAGAGGCCTAGCAAAGACTCATGGGCACGCCCATGTGGCTGCCTCCATGTACCCCAAGTGCAGATCTCTCTGAGGCCTCCGCCCTTGGGTGTGGCTCTGACCCTAGCCCACTGACTTGTCTTCTGGGCCAGTCCCTCACCAATTCCACTGGGAGCACCAGGCTGAGGAGGCAGATCAGTTGCCTGCCCCATTCTCACCCCACAGCTCGATCCTGTCACCTTACGAGAGGCAGCTGAACTTGGATGGCAGTGCCCAGCACTTGGCAGATTGGCATGGCAAGAGGAAGAGGAGCGCCAGCTCTCGGTAATGCCCACATTGCCACTCCCCAGGGAGTTCTGGGGAGCAGAGCTATTGAGGGAGTGCTGGTGTTTGGGACCTTGGAGAATGCATGGGTGTAAGAGCTGGGCTTGGGCAGCTGCTGTGTAGGCTCTGGGAGGCAGTAGGGCACAGGTGGGACATGTGCACCTCAGCAATCAGGAGCAGATGTGCTGCATTTCCTCCCATGCCCCTCAGGTCCATTAATAAGAAGCCCAAGGCCCTGGAGAACCCCCTGCAGGGGGTGGATGGGACACTCGAGAGACTGGCAGCCTCCAGCCCACCTCCCCGCAACCAGAACAGCCGATGCCCAGAGGAGAAACCCCAGGAGTCAAGCCCTGTAAAGGGCCCAGCGGGCCCTTTTCAGCTTCTGGGGTCCCCGGAGCCCTGCTCTGTCCTGACCAGGGAGGGGGTGGGGTGCAGAAACGAGAGTGGCAAAGTAGAGAATGGGGTCCAGGGGGCTTGTAAGCCACGCTGGAACTTTGAGCAGATCTCCTTCCCCAACATGGCTTCAGATAGTCGCCACACCCTCCTGCCTGCCCCAGCCCCAGAGCTGCTCCCCGCCAACATCACTGGGCGGGAGACAGACACCAAGTCCTGGTGCCAGAAGCTGAACCAGCGGAAGGAGAAGCTCTCCAGGCGGGAACGGGAGCAACAGGCAGAGGCCCAGCACTTCCGGGAGGATGTAAACTCGGATCCCGAGGTGCAGCGCTGCTCTAGCTGGTGGGAGTACAAGCAGCTGCTGCAGAGGCGGCACCTGCAGAAGACCCAGAGCCGCCCCCCACACCTGTGGGACCAGCCTGTCACTCCCTTGCTGAGTCCTGGCCAGGCAGACTCCCCAGGTACCCCATCACCCTGCCACAGCCCCACAGGCCACTGGCAGCTGAGGAATCACGAGACTTTGAAAGGGGCACAGATTAACCATGACTGCTTGAGGCTTAAGAAAGATGGGGAGGAGAGAGCTGTCCAGTGGAGTGGAACCCACAAGGGCAGTCCGTTCTGGGAACTGCAGAAGGACTCATGTGGGAAGGTTTAGAGTTGGCGAGTTAGTGCCTGAGGAGAGGCGAGGAGGAACGAAAACTATGGTCACATTCTTAAAATCATAAACAAATGCATCTGGGTGGCTCCGCCACCGACTAGCTGTGGTCCCCTGTTCTCCCGACTCTGTTACAGGGGAACAGGGAGGTGATATGCTGGCCAAATAAAAGGAAGCCTTGCGGTATGGCCTGCATGTTAAGAACAGGGAACTCAGGGCAAGAATGGTGTTAGGGGATTCAGAACTACTTAGAATACCTATGGGAGCATGGTAGATTGTAAGTATCTAGATTTGGGTTGTCGGATAGGTTACATTTATATTTCAGATAAAAAAACAACTAATTTTTTTAGTGTAAGTATGTTCCAAATATTGCATGGGATACGCATATGCTAAACAAAATCTGCCAAATCTGACAATCCTAAACTAGATGGCAGATTCAGAAATGTCGGGAGTCTGTAGATGGCTGACTCCCCTCCCCAAGGCCTTATTCTCACTGTCCTTGTAGCCGCAGTCCTTCAGCAGATCTCTGTGCTGCAGATGACACACCTTGCTGATGGCGGTGCCGGGTGAGTTTCCAGGTAGTGCCGCCTCCACAGTACAGTAGGCTGGCAGCTGGGATTTGACTCCTTAAGTTGGGCATGAACTGGGGAGTCATTCCAGGGATCCTGGCTAATATTCATGTGTGTCTAGGGGAGAGGGAGGAGCAGGAGACAAAAGGTGGATTATCCTAATGTTCTGAGTTAGGCAGCCCAGCCAAACCCCTCACTGCCCCTCAAGTGGCACGTCACAGCAGGACCTCAGTTCAGGGGAGGGAAAGAGTGGCGTGGAAAGAAAAGATAGAGGAGGAAAGTCCCTGCTTCCTAAGGTTTCTCACTCTGTCCTCAGGCTGCTGGAGAAGGCTGGGGGCTTGGAGATCAGCTTTGATGTTTACCAGGCCGACGCTGTGGCCTCCTTCCGAAAGAATAACCCTGGCAAGCCCCATGCCCGGATGTGCATTAGTGGGTATGAGACCAGCAAGTGCTGTTCCTACACTGCTCCTAGTCCTCTTGTGAACCAAGTGTTCCCCCTCTCCACACCCCTGGCCCATTGCCAATCCCTGAGAGGAACCTAAGGTCCAGAGAGATTATGTGACCGACCTGTGGCCACACAGCCAGTTAGTGCTATGGGAACCCAAACCTCCCAGTCCTCAGCTCTCATTCCTGGCATTTTTGGGTGGTCTCTCTCCTGTGCCACTTTAGTCCCAGCTCACCCAGCAGAAGGGTGTGAATTGGAGGGATTTACAGGCTGAGAGTGGTGAGACTCTCACTCTTCCTAGTCCCCTTACCCAGGAGAGCCCAGAGGCCAGACTTCTTGTACCCCAACTCCTGTGTCAGTCTCCCTTCCGTGGGAGCCTGAGAGGACTGGGGTCTCACAGCTAATGGGGGCCTATGTCTGGGTCTCAGTCTAACCTTTATCCCTGCAGGTTTGATGAGCCAGTCCCAGACCTCTGCACTCTCAAGCGATTGTCCTACCAGTGTGGGGATGTTCCTCTGATCTTTGCCCTGGTGGATCATGGAGACATCTCCTTTTACAGCTTCAGGGACTTCACGCTGCCCAGGGATCTGGAACACTGACCGTGCACTTCTGGCAGGACCTGGGGCCTGCTCTGGGGGACCTGGACTAATCTACTCTCAGGGACCATCTCAGCTGCCTCCTACACCCAGACTCTGGCCTGTAGCTGCAGGGGCCAGTCTGGGCCGTGGCCCTGGGTGTCTGATGCTTGCAGGAGAGCGAAGCTCTGCCCTACACCTGGCTGCCGCAGTGCTTCCAAGCCCCAGGCCTGAGATTGCTGCCTTGCAGTGATCCTTCTGGAACTCAGCACTAGATTTCAGAGACTCAGAGAGGTGGGGCAGAAGAGAGGACTCTGTGCCTTTAAATGAGAGGGTGCCTGCTTCATGCAATAAAGCCAAAGCCATTAAAAGATAGATGCCTTTTCTGCTGGCTCGAAATACTGAACAAGTTCCCCAGCCCCACATCCGGGGTTGTCCGCGAAACTGGCCCCCAGGCCCTCACCCCTGCTTTGCCCACCTACAGAGAGCGCTGCTTTCTCTGGTGCGGGACCTAAGAGAAGCCCGCGGGAGGGCAGGAACGAGATCCCGCACCTTTCTCAGGGCCTGCGCCGGAGGGGATGGAAGTCACAGACCTCTAGTCATCTTGGCTTTCTGAAAGGGTAGTCCGAGGAGCGAGGCCCGCACTCCATCGGTCCTTCCTTGAACGCAGCCGGGTCCGAGTTGAAGAGTGCCCGAGAGGAGCCAAGTCGGAGTGGCTGGAACCCTAGTCGCTTGGAGCTGTGCGGCGGAGCGCGCCATTCACGCCCCGAGCCTCGGGCCGGTCCTCCGCACCCCTTCCGCTCCCGCCTCTCGTCGCTCCAATCCTCTCCCTGGCGCTAAAAACTCCAGTCGCTGTCGCTGTCCCTTGTGGCCTCGGGCGCCTGCCTGCCTCAGCAGCGCCTCGGAGGAGGGGGTTCCAGGCTTGGGGCTCGTCCGAGGGGAGGCTCCTCGCAGCGACGCCCCGGTCCCATGCCACCTCGCTCTTAAGCCCCGAAAGCTGGCCCTGTGTCCGCCCGTCACCCTCTGATTGGGTTGAGCGCTCTCAGGAAGAGCCCGCGGGGCTATGCCCCTCCCTTGGCAGCCCGGAGCCGAGTTGTGGGAGGGACGGCTCCTCTCTGCAGTCAGCCTCGGAGGTGGCCCTAGGCCCCCGCGCGTTCCGGGAACTATTTACTTCTCCGGGAAGCGGCGGGACACTGGGCGCGGCGCGCCGTCCTGTGGCCAGGTGCGCGCAGGTGAGGCCGGGGGCGGGCCGGCAGCGCCTCGTGCCTGTTCACGCGGGCCGCGGCCCCGCCCCCCCGCTCCTCTGGGCCGCGGATTGGCCCGAGCGCGGCGCCCGCGCTGCGCCCTCGCCCGGTCGGCGGGGGGCGCGGCGGGGGCGGGGCCAGGCCCGGGGGAGGGCCGCTGGGGCCCGGCGTGCGGGGTTCCGCAGCCAGGATCGACTCGCCCTTTATGTAAATAGAGGCGGCTCCGCCCCCCGCTCGCCGCGCCGGAGGTGAGCAGGAAGGAGACGGCCGCCCAGCAGCCCGTGGGCCGGCGGCGGACTGAGGGGAGCCAGCGGCGGGCGCCGAGGGACGCCGAGGCCTCGGGCGGGGGCCGGCCTGGGGTTCCAGGTGAGGCTCGGGCCTGGGCCCGCCCCTCGGGACGCCCGCCACTCGGGGCGGAGAGGCAGGGGAGGGCCAGGACTCCCGGCTTCCCCGGGTCGGTCGGGGAGGGCTGCGCCCAGATCCGCCCGCCGCCCTGGATCCCGTCGCTCCGCTCGTCTGGGAGAAAGACACCTGTGGAGAGTGCCGCTGAGAACTTTTCTCCGCCGGCTCCGCCCGTGATTGCAGAATGGGAGTTTCGGGCTTGCACAATAGTGTTGGTTTTGAGGAGCAAGGAAACAGGTGCTCGGCCCGGCTGGGTGCGGGGGTCACTGCGGGCGGGGATGGGGTCCCTGGGCCTCCGGCCTCACGTGCAAGGCGCCTGGCCGGGGATCCCGGCGGCGCACGTCTCCAGTGGCTCTCTCTCAGCGAGCAGGGGCCGGAGCGCGTTACCTCGGCGGCTTAGTCCCTGCCCCTGCCATCTGGGCCCTCTCCCTGCTGGCCCTTTGTGCCTCCTAATCCCCGGACGCAGGAAGCCCGCGGGGGGAATTTCAGTCTCGGGGCCTTTCTCCGCTTCGGGCGGCTTCGGACACCTTAGGGGACGGTACGGAGACCCAGTCTGTTTTCCACGACGACAGGGGTGGGGTTGCGTTGTGGTACGCTGGGACTTGGCGAGGAGTGGAAAATTCTGTCTTGCCAAGAAAGTGTGCAAAGTTTGCTCTTGGTTTGCTCCTGCTGGACGGTTGGTGGACACACTGACCTTTGGCTGTGGGGAGAATTGTCTGTGCACAGGAGAGCTGTGGTCTGGCCCCCTGAGGCTCTCACCTGAGACGGGTGAGCTTTGCGTGAGGCAGGCAGGGCTTAGACTCAGCACCCCTTCCCATGGGGATCCATGTGCCAGATGCAGGGCGGCTTAACCTGACCTCTAGGGACCCTCTCTGCAGAGTTTACAACTGAAGGTCCTGTTTGGCTGCAGAGGAGGGGAACCGGGAGGGAATGGGTGTGTCAGGGAGACAGGAAACCCCAGGTGGGAAGAACAGGGCGGCAGTGTAGAAGAGCTGTGGCCCAGCCCAGGGGAAGCCAAGGTCAGAAGTGGCTCTTGAGGAAGACAGTCTGGTTCTGTGTGAGCTGAGGCATGGAAAGGGTCCTGGGAGATATGGTCCAAATTATTTTTTTTGGTGAGGAAGATTGGCCCTGAGCTAACATCTGTGCCAGTCTTCCTCTATTTTGTATGTGGGCTGCTGCCGCAGCAAGGCTTGATGAGTGGTGTGTAGGTCTGCACCTGGGTTCTGAAACCAGGAACACCAGGCCGGCCCATGGTCCAACTTCTTTATTTTATGGACGGGGAATTTGGATTTGGTTTTCTTGCCCGCAGTGCTCACTTATGACAGTCAGGACTCAAACCCAGCTCTGGGGACTCTAACCAGGGCTCGCTCCTCTTTTCTGAAGTTAGACTGGGCCAGTCTCCGTGGGGGCCACGGACAGTGTTTCCAGGGTTTGAGGTCATTCTTCATCCCTACTCTTTTTTTGGGGAGATGGAATGTCTCCTTTGGTGGCAGACTGATGTAATTTTAATAACTTAGTAACTTTTTAAAACAGAATTGCATTAAGAGAAAAAAAAAAAGGCCTATAATGCAAGATGACCCTTGTTGGTTTAAGAAACATAAAAGGTTATAATAGAAGCCATAGCAGGGAAAATGGAACATTTTAGAAAGTATAAAATAAGAGGGAAACACTTGTCCCTCTGGCCTCACAGTCTTTTTCCTCAGACATAGTGTTCGTTAAGTTTTAGTGTCTTTCCAGACGTCAGGTGTAGCTTTGAATCGGACCTTGCTGATTTCTTGCTACATGACCTTGGCTCAGTCACTTAACCATGCCAAGCCTCAATGAGCCTTTTCTTACAGATGTTGACAGGAGGATGGAAAATGTCACGAACACGTGTGGCCTGGCCCATGGCCAGCTGGCACCAGGTGTGGGTGAGCTTCTTCCCTGTGAAGCATAAGAAGCATGGTCACTTTGGGGCTTTGGGGCAGATGTCTGGGCCTTTTGGATGTGCCTGATGGGTTGTGAGGGAATTTGGCTTCTCTGACCAGAAATCAGCCGAGAGGTCATGATTTTTTAAAAAGCCTCTGGAAGTCAGAACTTAGAAAACAAGGACGTTGCTCCCTGGGAGTAGGGGAGTCAGAGGTAGAGGACAGGGGCCTCTCCTAACCTCACCTTGTGTTCCAGGGGCCCTTGGTACTTCTCTGCTCCTTGGGAGAGGCAAGAATGAGGCCTGGTGGCCAGGCCCCAGCTGGGGGCCTTTCCTGGGGCAGGGGGAGGGCGTAGAATCGAATCTGCTCTGCTTTCTGCTCAGGGGAGGGCTTGGCTGTATACATTCTGCACCCTCTTGTAGGGGAGCACATTCCTGTGCGGCTCTGCTGTCATTAAGGAAATGTTCTGGGAACTCCATAGTGCTTCCTTTCAACCTCGTTTAGGAAAGGGGTGTCCTTTCCTACCAGGACTTCCGGCCCCAGGAGCCTCTCTCCCATAGGGAAAGTGGTGCAGAGGGGCCAGCCTGGTGGCGCAGTGGTTAAGTTCACAAGTTCCGCTTCAGCAGCCGGGAGTTGCCAGTTCAGATCCTGGATACAGACCTACACACCACTTGTCAGGCCATGCTGTGGCAGGTGCCCCACATATAAAGTAGAGGAAGATGGGCACGGATGTTAGCTCAGGGCCAGTCTTCCTCAGCAAAAAAGGGAAGGATTGGCAGCGGATGTTAGCTCAGGGCTAATCTTCCTCAAAAAAAAAAAAAGAGAGAGAGAGAAAGTGGTACAGAGAGCTGGGAAGTTTGGAGCCTTTGCCATCGGTCTTTGACCTGCTGTCTACCCATTGGAGACACTGAGCATCCCGGGCAGGAGACTCCAGGAGCAATATGGGATTTCCTGAAGGGTTACTCAGCCTTCCTGGCCCTTCCAGATATGTCAGAGGCAGCCGTTGAGACACCTGAGTTAGAGGCCAGGGTGGAGGCCCAAGAGGCCAGTCGATGATCCCTGCTCCTAGGTTGGCTGCTGGAGCAGCACTGGCCACCCGGACTTACTTATCCTGAGTACTCTGCTCTGAGAAGTCTTCTTATCTCGCTCTGGCGGTATCCCTATCAGGGCCGCTCCTGGGTCGAGGCGTGCCAGGTCTGTTTGGCAACTTTGTTTTCCCCTGTTCGGTAGCAGTTTGCAGGGAGAAGTGGGCTATAGGGCAGGAGATGGATGTCCCTCAGTGGGGCCACCGGTACTGCTTGTCCTTTTCCAGCCCTGGGTCCCCAGGTTTCCCCAGGAGACCCTCTCCTTCCTGTGCCTGTCACCATGGGGCTTCGCCCAGCTCCCTTTGGGGTGATCTCCCCTCCCCACCCTGCTTCTCAGAGGAAACTGGTACTTTGAAGAGTCACCCGGCTCCTTCCCCTTCCTAGGAACCACCGTGAATTCTTGAGCTAGGAGAGGCTGCTCTGGGCGTGGGGACAGGGAAGCTGCTAGGGACCTGACTCTCCCCTTCAGGAATTCAGCACACTGGAGTCTTCTCTCAAGACTCCTGACTCAGTGTTCCCAGGGTTTGATGAGAGGGACATCTGGGCACAGGACTTGAGTAAATAATGTTATTCTTGGATTCTCCTTACCAAGGAGCTGGGTGTCGTGGCGCCTCAGGCTGAGGCAGGGGCCCATAAGGTACCCCCAGCAGGATGCCAGGCGTGATGTTCACATGACCCTGGCCTTGGCCAGAGACTTGAGAACAGGATAGGGAAGTTCCCTGAGGGACCCTGTGGGG